GAAAACAGAATACCACTTAGGGTTCCCTGCTTTGCGTCTCAATAATAATTAAAATACACCTTTACTTCCTGAATTGTGTTAACAGTTTATGGGTCCATTAAATGGTCAGCCTAACAGAGACAAATCAAAGTTGCTAAGGTAAGCCAATTACTTCAGCCTTTGCTCACACTTTTTACAGCAGAAATGTAAAGGCTGAACATTTTCTACAAAAGTTCCTGGGTGGAACTTTTCCTCCACTAATTCTACAACTAATCTTTCATGTTACACAAGAAAGGTTAATGAAATAATTTTAAAATAGCAAGTCATGGTTGATAACCTATACACATTTTTGCTTAGCTGATCCACTTGTTGATCACTTTTCATAGTGCCTATGAAACTGACTTGCTGTTTATTGGATTTAAACTAATTGGGTAAAATTTCCAAGGTTCTAACTTTTGCTTACCAGGAAAACGTTTACTACACAGAAAGCCACACTGAAAAACTCCCATCCACTCTAGCTCTCTTGTCTCTAAGGTGTGAGGACAGATTTTTTTTTTAAGTAGGAACAGAGTTAAAACAATGTAATAAAATGTCTGTGTTATTTGCATATCTCTCTCCTACACCACCAGAAGTCTTTCATTTCAACAGCTGCTTCCCAACCTCTTTTTAGAATCAAGCAACACACTGTAATTGTAGGCAGCACGCCTGTTTTTAACAGCAATCTGGACAACCCAATACATTCACGGGAAACACACACACGAGAAAACATCTGAAATCACTTGGCAATATGTATAATAAACCCCACACATTCTACATGTCAACCTAATAATTTAATTTAGACACAACAACCTTTTATTTTTAAAAAAGCTTCTATTTGCATACATTCATAAAGTAAAGAATGGTCTCTGAAACATCTCTATAGCATGACTCTTAATCCTGGTGTTGAGATGTAAGATGTGAAATCAACCACCTCAAAAGGAACCCGTAAAACACCACTACTACAATCACCACCAACACCTCCTCCTCTAAACACTCATTCAGTTTAATTACAAAAATAAAAATATTGCACTCTCACAAGAGAGTAAGGAAGTCAATGAATGAAGCCATGATTGTCTTATAATCACACACCCTTGTAAAATTATTCCCTAAAATTGTAATTCTCTGACTGCTTTGACATATTGACCATCTGAATCGTGTAAAGCCATGGTTCACCGACATGAATTAGGTTGCTTTAGGCCCCCCAAACGCTCTAAAATTACTAAGAAGGATGAACATTACAAAACATCAGCAAGACAGAACAGCAGTGAAGTGTGGATATGGTTGTGTAGGAAAAGCATTAGATTTGGTATCTCAAGGCTGGGGTTTTTAACCCAACACCCCTGCACCAGGATTTGAAAAGTCATTTAACACAACTGAGCCTCAATTTCTCTAGATATAAAATAAGTAAGGTTGATGAAATCATCTTTAGGATCCCTTTCACTTATAAAAACCCTCCATTTTTAATAATATATGTTTATTTTTAAATAGGTAATAAATTTATTTAGATAGAAAAGAAAAAAAGATAAAAATAGTATTGTTACACGTCATGTCTACCTTCATCCCTTACGCCACACTCCCCACCACTGTCGCCCATACCCCAAACACTAATAATTGTTCTCATTAGTTTCTTATGTAACTACAGAAATAAGAGCAAACACCAATATATACTGTTTTGCCTCTTCTCTAACATAGAAAGTGTCATATGATACCTACTGTACCACTCATAGTGTATCTCAGACAGCCTTCCACATCAGTTAACAGAGATGTCCCTCGTTCTTTTCAACAATGGCATAGATTTCATTAGAAAGAGCTCCAAAGTCTACTTAATCAATATCCTACTGATAAGTACTTGAATTTTTCCACTCTTTTGCTATTACAAATAATGCTGCAAAAAACACAAACTTTTGTGCAGATGATCTCTACGTTATAATTTAAAGAGAAATTTCCAGAAGTGGAATTACTGAGTCAGTGGGAAAATAAAAGTTTAGCAAAATCTGCCAAACTGCCTTCCACACAGTTTGCACCCTTCCTGCACTCTCAACAACAATGTCTAGGAATCTTTATTCCTCCACCGTCTCACTAAGCTGAGGTTCTCCTGTTCCTTCTCCTTCGGATTTCTATCTCATCTGATAAGCAGATACCACATCAACAGGATTTCTCTTCATTTGTGTTTATCTTATTATGATAAGTTTGCCCAAGTCACTGAGCTTCTTGTGTGCTCTTCTGAGTTTATTCCTTGTCCACATTCCTGTAAGTTGCTGGTCTTTTTCTTATTGGTTTATAAGTAAAAATTCTACTATTTCAAGAAAACATTCCTGAACTAATGATATTTACCACATTCTTGAATGACATGGTTTGGCTGTGTCCTCTCCCAAATCTCATCTTGAATTGTAACTCCCACAATTCCCACATGTCATGGGAGGAAACTGGTGGGAAGTAATTGAATCATGGGGGCAGGTCTTTCCTGTGCTGTTCTCATAATAGTGAATAAGTCTCACAAGATCTGATGGTTTCAAAACCAGGCGTTTCCCTGTACAAGCTCTCTCTTTGCACACTGCCATCCATGTAAGATGTGACTTGCTCCTTATTGCCTTCCACGATTAGGAGGTTAACCCAGCCATGTGGAACTGTAAGTCCATTAAACCCCTTCTCCTGTATAAATTACCCAGTCTTGGGTATTTCTTTATCAGCAGCATGAAAACAGACTAGTACAATGAACTAATGATATTTACCACTTCCCGAATGCTTTAATGGTTTAAAAAGAATTATAGTTTCTTATTGGAAGGTACCAGCCACCATTACTCAATATTCTACTGATGTGCAGTATGTATTTGTATATAATATCCATGAAGAAATTTTTTTGAAAAAGAAAATTTTGAGTTTTTGAAAAAGAAAATTTCACTTTCAACAGGAGAGAGGAATGGTTTGGAAGAATGCATGAAGATAATTTCATCTCACCAAATATCACAAATATTTGGATAAAAAAAGAAATGATCATCATAACTAAATATTAGGTATAAAAAGCTTAAAATATAAAAATATTTAATTTTATATCTTTGTATAGTCCTTTCATTGAATGTTTAACAGTTCAGTTACATTAATGTAAAACAATTTTCTAAATATCATAAAATTCAAATATCCAAATAGGCACATCCATTTTCCTGGTGAACTTCTAAGCTATGTCAATGATCTTTTTATGTAATTCATAGAAAATGCATTTTAAAATTCTGAAAACATTGACAACTATGAAACCTCTGCCATAATGGAGTGATTAAGCAGCCAAAATGCTGATATAAATACTTTTCCTTTTTTTCACTCAATGAGGAAGTAGCCAACCATTTTTTCAAAATTCTTAAATATAATAGATCCTAATACTATCGAGGAATGAGCAAAGTCTAACCAAGTAGCATTTACGTATCTAGAAAAAGTTTTCCATCAATGACACAGGACCCATTCCCCACACATGCTTCCATGAGAAAAGTTCAAAACAAGCAAAGGAAGATGGCCTACAGGGTGTTCAGACTCTACAGGACCTATGGCTAATTCCACAGCAGGGAAGGACTTCCCACCTACTACCAATAGGTCGTTGATAATATGACTCCTGCAAGGCCATATTAAAGGGATGAGAATCCTTCGACTTTTATCATTTTAACTCTGCTGGCACCTGGAGACTCCCACAGGTGTCTCCACTGGAGAGTCTTGAAAACTGAAGCAGTGATGTGGCTCAGGGTGCAAAGCCAGTTCATACCAACAGACAAACACACACCAATGCCTCCTGGAGTCCTCACTGCTACCAGGGGACACAGTCCCAAGCTCTGCCCGGAGACCTACGATCCAAGTGACCCTGGGGAAGTTATATAAACTCTTTGGGACTTAGATTCTTCATAGTTCACTTTGAGGAGTGAATGAATTAGGCATTAAAAACAGTGACTGGTAGGCTGTGTTCTGTGTAAGTTTACTATATGCCATTAGGCCAAACTCCACGACTGCACAACTTTAACCCAAAGAGTCAACAGCAGAAATGGAAATATTCAAAAGCATCTCCTCCATAAGGACAAATATGGGGAAAATGAAGATAAGCCCAGCAGAGTACAGTCATAGGAAAGGTAAGCAGGCAGGCACCACTAAATGATGCAAACAGAGGGGCAAGGCCACCAGGTAAGATGGGACTTAACCTGTGGGAAGTGCATGATTCTCCCAGTAGGGTTAATGTCCCAAGCTATCCAATCCCTAGAGATCTGGAAAGGTTAGTACAAAACCCCTTATTATTTAAAGTTGTCTGTTAAAATCCTCCTCAATAAGTTTACTTTTCTCATCTTTTTCCAATTTTCTTCTTCTTACTATACTTTTATTCTTCTTCTCTTAGTCTCACCTGTCATCTTACTACTTTCTTCCTGAATAAACCTTAGGTCTATAGGGGACAACAAACCACACTGGTAAACTCTAAGAGTGGTACTCACTAACAATGTGGTTCTTGAATCCCAATTTAAAATTATTTTAATGCATCCTGGCTCCCAGTGTAATTATTTTAAAGTATTATACCGTTTAATTGTTGGATATCTGAAAGCAAATGGACTCTGGAGAAAGCTTAGCTTATTGGAAATAAAAACTCCAAAGAAATGCTTCACCAACACTGTGTTACATTTGTAAAGCCACTTCTCAGACACTTTGAAGTCTTTGAGCTCAATCACTTAGCAATGCTGCATCCTCTATACCTACAAAACAGCAGCACGTCTGCCAATAATGCCGTAACGGATAGGGAAACTCCTGTGGACAGAAGTGAGAAGCCCGAGGCCGCTCGCCTCGCCCGGGAATGGAGCTGTAACTGACACCTATGTCAAGCTGATGAAGAACGCCCTATTTCTACTACATCTAAACCCTTTACACAACCAGCCTCCCCAGATTAATGCAAGTGTTACTTCAATGACAATAAGACACCCTCCTGAATCGCCAGACCCTGCACATCTTCACAGAATACAAACCTTTGGGAGGAGTGAGGCTGACTCCATTTTTAAGGCACCATTGTACTGGCAAAATCCCCAAAGAATCTGCATGGCACAGCACTGAGAGTTTACTTGGTTCAGGTCTTAGGTCGTCAATAGTCACTTGAAAAAAATGATTGTTAAAAACCTAAAAGAAAAAAAAAAAAAGGCGGGGAGCCAAAGGTTAATTCTTTAGAGTTACACATAATGCAAGCTTATAAAATAGTGGCAGAGCTTCCAAAGGCAATTAAATATAGTTCATCAAAATGATCTGAATACAAACTGGCATTTTCAATGTCTATTACTAAATTAATTCAGCTGATAAAAAGTGAGAATTGACCGCTGTGCTCCTATTAATGGAAAGATAAATAACTAGGTGATATGGAAGACTGAGAATGAACAAAATCAAAGACTTGGAGAAGTAAATCAATGGCCATAGCTAGAAGAAGAATGAACGGAGGAAGTCAGACAGACAAACCCCAGCTTCGATGACAGCCAAGACAGGAACTGAAAAGTGAAACCATCTCTCAGTGTCCACAGCCAGCACCAAACTCTTTATACCAGATCATTCAACAATCTCCAAGATCTGGCTTGGAGCTTTCTAGCCTCATCCTGTACCATATCCCTCAGAACACCCCACCCTCCAGCCTGAGAGGAAATCATTCACCCTAAGCCTCATCAACTACGACATCCCCAATGCCATGTTTGAGTTATCAAAACACAGTGCATTTTCAAGGTGCATCTCGTACTTCAGTGCTGCTGATCTGGGTGGAATAAACCGCCCTCACTCTGTGCTCCTAAAATTTCAGACTTCAACTTCTGTATTGAAAACTCTTACTCCTTTCTAGACTGATAACACATTGGTCTTCCAATGCCATGCAGCATAAGTTATTAAAGGAGAGTGATGTCTTTTTGTTAACACAAGTATTCCCAAATGCATATAAAGTGCTTTGTACATAGGAACTGGATAAATGTCCACTGACTATAAGAAGAAACATCAATGAAGAAATAAGAGCAAGGCATGCCGATACACAAAGCAGAGGGTAAAAATCAGATGGACCATCACTGAAAAGCATGATGGATTTAAATAATTTAGTATCTAAACCAGGCCAGAAAAAAAAGATCCCTTTCCCAATTCAACGGACATAACCCAGTCTTTCTTAGGAAACCTTGAGAGTTTTACGAAGCTATGATTCCCGGCTCCTTTATTTTTTTTCTGGAAGCAATTTAGTTCAAAGCAAAGCAGGAGAGGAAACTCACTTCTGTTCTCTGGGCTAATTTCGGTAAATAGTTTACTGTAGGTTTGCCTGTGAAAGTCAACTTCAAGCAACAAAGGATCAGATGGGGCCTTCCCAGTGAGGTCATCTCCGAGAGCCCTGTTGAGAATCTCATCCTCCCTCCGCCTGAAAGGATTATGGAAATCCTTCGACTTCCATCACTTTCACTCCTCTGGGCACCGGGACTCCCCTGGACAGTCTTGAAAACTGATGCATGGCGATCTGGCTCAGGGTGCAAAGCCAAGTGCGTACCAACAGGGAAACTAACACCAAGGCCTCCTGGAGTCCTCACTGCTATTGGTGGGCACAGTCCCAGGAACCCAACATCCCTGCCCTGGTGTATCTTTCTTCTTAGCATTTAATATGTAACATACTAGATTTATTTACTGATTGATTCTGTTTATAGTCTGTCTCCCTCCATTAAAATATAAGCTCCACAATGGGAACATTGTCCAGAATGCAGCCTATGAATGCTCAATAAATATCTGTTAAATTACTGTTATTTAGTCTGTCTTGCATACATACACATACTCACACATACACGTATATAAAGAGCATGTGATTTTGGTGGAGCCGTGGTACCCTATAAAGAAGGAATTTCCACAACCGTTAAAATGCATGTTCACGTGGAAACGCTTCAAAGGAAAAGCTTAGTACGTTTCATCAGATCCATCAGGGCTCATGTTCCTAAATGGTCCGAAGCAGTGTTTTGTGTTCTACCCAGTCCAGAACCCACTGGACTCAGAACTAACGCCCAGAGCAGTTAACTGACTTGCCCAAGACTGCACAGCTAAGAGATGGCAGACAAAGAAACAGAACCCAAGGCTTCTCATGCCAGTAGCCTTTCCTCTAATCAATACAATGCACTTCGCTTACACAGATGACATCACCACCATCTGCCAGTATTTCAACACCAGGAACACACCCTGGCTGGACTGCTGGAAGTTCACCATTTAATACTCAATCCACTACATGCCTGTCTGCATCCTTGTCTGTTGTAACATTATTTACATATTTCTTCAACAGTTATGCCACCAAGAAAAGGCCCAAGGTGAGAAAAAAAATGAAATTTTCATTGTGATGAGTAATGATAGCATAGTGTGTTATATTTTCCAACATAATACTCCAAGGTACTTTCCCCATACTTACAGAAATATATTTAATGGTAAATATCTTCTACGCTAGGAATATTCTGATACGTCATTACATGAAGATGAGTCTTGAACCTGGGGAGGTGCCTACCTAGGTTCTAAAAGACAGATGCACACATCCCAGTCCATGTATTATACAAAACATGGTCAATAAGAGAAGGAGGGCTGTACACGAAACAGCATGACTTATTTTATCTTTGCTACAAAGGGTAAGAAAAAGCAAAATAAAAAGGGAAACACAATTTAGAAATCAGTAAAAATACTTCTTCCCTCCCCTCGATAAAGATCTATTTAGAGAAAATTATTTACTGTGAAAAGCCAACTATCACTGGAAGTCTATCCAACTAGAAAAAGATATTTGGGCTGAAATTAATTTTGATTAGTAGACACATTCTAACATTATATATTACAACTATTTAAAGGCATAAGAATTATTTAAAGGAATAAGAATGTGAGAGAGGCTGGGTGCAGTGGCTCACGCCTATAATCCCAGTACTTTGGGAGGCTGAGGCGGGCGGATCACAAGGTCAGGAGTTCGAGACCAGCCTGGCCAAGATGATGAAACCCCATCTCTACTAAAAACACAAAAATTAGCCAGGCACGGTGGCAGGCACCTATAATCCCAGCTACTTGGGAGGCTGAGGCAGGAGAATCGCTTGAACCCAGGAGGCAGAGGTTGTAGTGAGTGAGCCGAGATCACGTCATTGAACTTTAGCCTGGGCAATGGAGCAAGGCTCCATCTCAAAAAAAAAAAAAAAAAAAAAAAAGAAAGAATGTAAGAGAGGCTACCGCTGACAGTCTATGCACATCAACTCTGTTGAGTTTAATTGATAAATACCAGGTGAAGTGACTCTGTAGCATGCTACATCTGCAAACAGATGGGCAGCTGGCATGACTGCAGCACCCACTAACGGAACAAAGGAGAATTCTGGCTAGGATTCAACAGGGTACCATTTGTCCATTTTGGAAAAATATCTGACTACTGGCAGGATATACAGTAAAGAACCCCAAAGGCCATTTCAAATTAAAAGGTTTTTAATGGATGCTAGATAATCAGGAGTACATGACTTTCAAAGATTATAAAGCAAAAGCCAATGTATTTTTCTTTAAATAAATAACCTTAAATATTTAAAGTTTTTCTGATTTTGTTTGTTTGTTTGTTTTGAGATGGAGTCTCATTCTGTCGCCCAGGCTGGAGGGCAGTGGCAAGATCTCGGCTCACTACAACCTCCGTTTCCCAGGTTCAAGCGATTCTCCTGCCTCAGCCTCCCAAGAAGCTGGGGTTACAGGTATGCGCCATCATACCTGGCTAAATTTTGTATTTTTAGCAGAGATGGGGTTTCACCCTGCTGGCCAGGCTGGTCTCAAACTCCTGACCTCAGGTGATCACCCTACCTCAGCCTCCCAAAGTGCCAAGATCACAGGCGTGAGCCACCGTGCCCAGCTCCTAAAGTTATCCTTGAAATAAGCTACTTTAATGGTTATAAAAACAATTTATGTTCACTAAAGAAAAAACGTTTACAAGAAAAAATGTTTAGAAAGCATTTCATTTTTATAACCAATTTCCATATTCTGTAATACATTATCACTACTAAATTTCTCAAGTGTTACCAAATCATAAATTTTTAAAAACTCATGACTCACATAACAAATACTAATCACTGCATGAAAAGTGATTTTCCTTAACGAAAATCCCATTTCCTTAAGAAAAAGAAATTAAAACAGATTTAAATCTGTAATTAAATTCTCCTACTGAAGTACACAAAAGACCATTCACCAAAACACACGTCGGCCAAGAATGCTAAGTTTCCCACACTATTTGTAAGAGAATATTTAAGGTAGAAACAAGCAATTTTGATTTTACCAGAGGTTTTGTTATTAAAACTTCTTTAATGGGGAATGGATATTATACTTTTTCAAAAATGTTTTACTGTTTGTAGAGACAGGGTCTCCCTATGTTACCCAGGCTGGTTTTGAACTCCTGGGCTCAAGTGATCCTTCCCCCTTGGCCTCCCAAAGTGCTGGGATTATGGATGTGAGCCACCATGACCCGCTGGGATATTACAATCTTCAAAGACTAACAGATCATTATAAAAATGCCTTTATGTTAAAAGGTAATTTTATTCTGAATCTGTAGATCTTAGAAGCATGAGTTTTTCTTTAGTCAATGATGGCACATGAGAAAAATAACACAGAAATGCTGAGACATGGGAGGTGAGAATTTACTTTGCACCATTTTCATGTATTTTCCAAGTATAAACAGATCATATTTACTACTACCCGTGCAGGAAGAACAAATTACCCTTGTAATGATTACAACGTGCAACTCGTCAGTGGACAACTAGCAGAAGACAAGGAAAATTCACCCTATCCATGATAAGAGGGGGCATCTGATTAGAGTCACTCTGTGCCACCAGTAATAAAAACAGCTTAAAGCAGCGCTGGACTGGAGGGGCGGCAATCTTCCTTAGCTTCGCCTGGCATTGCTGATAGCCTTGCACGAATATATTTCATCTGGTCGTCTTTGAGTTGAAAGGTTTAATTTGATCCACTCTAGGAGCTGGGTCGAAGAACGAGGGAGGAAAACCCACCTTAGTCACTGACGCAGGAGAGATGTCAAAGGGCTCGCTCATATTCACTGTCTCAAGCTTCATCCCAACTGTGAAGAAATGGCTTCGCAAATCTGCGTGATCCTGCAGGGAGAGAGATGAAAATACTGAAAGCCACGGTACTGTAAGTGACCTCAGTCATGGTCCGGATGCGCTCCCATTTTATTGGGCAACCGAAATCTGATGGAAACAATTAACCCTCCCCGTTCAGAATTTCTAATTATTGCCAGATACCGCGGATTTAATTATTTTCTGCAGGCTAAATTGCTTTTCCAATGGAGAGGCAACAAGGCTTCGTGGCCATGCTTAAATTTACCCTAAGCAAAAGTTCACATTACACTGCTTTGCTCGTCCTCGGTGCTATCAACTGAAGCACAGCAGAGTACGGGAGGCAATCTGTCATCCTAACACAGCAGGGTGTCTTCAGAAAACGAGGCCTCTCGCTACTGGAGTCACATCTCAGAGCTTCAGTCAGCACCCTGTACCCACGGTCTGCCCCCACCTCCCGTGTCTAAGAGCACACGGCTTACCAGTTACTGGGAGTAAGCTGGCACACGGCTTACCAGTATGGTACAGGTAGGGGTAGTCAAGATCCCATAATCCCCGTTATCTTAGAGATTCCTGGAGGTAAGAATCCAAACCTGCCCCACGGACGATTAGAACCTGACTTCTACTCAACAAAGGGGAGCAACACTCCTTTCCTAATAGGGATCTGGCAGTTTTATAACCCGCTCACAGCAACCTTATGTGAGAGAGATGGGGCTTTCCTGCCTCCTAAGAAAACAAATTTCAATATCCACTTCAGCTACACAGCAATAGAGGAGGTTGGCTGGACTCCGGATACCAGAATTTATCTTGCGGAGATGGAGGTCACCTCATAACTCACGGTCTGGATGAACAGCGTGGATAAATAAATGTATTTGCAGTCTGTCCCTGAGGAAATAATAGCTGCAAATAAATCCTGCAATTTCCAAATACATCAATTGGGTGTGAAGTACGAAAATATCTGGGGACCTGTTACTTTCTTTGACCTGCGAATCGGAAGTGGGTTTTTAATTACTCCAACCACATCACTCTATATCCAACTCTGAGGACCGCACAGAACCCAGACAGACAGTGCCTGTTTCCCCAAAACCCCCAAAAGCTGGTCAATACCGTCAGTGTCCGACAGGAGATCAGACTAGAAGAACTGCTTATAAAACCCTCAACCAGTGCACCGAGTTGCCAAGGTAACCGAATGTAAACGCCTGTAGAACCACATGGACCCTTTCATTTTTCATGTCCCCAGGGCAGTCTGCAAAGGTCTCTGTATTGGGGATGCAAGATGAATGCTGGGGCCATGTCCAAAGAGGACATTAATCAGAACAAGACAGGCCGCGGTCAAACACGACAAAACCCAATCAAAGGAACTGGCCACTCTAAACATTTACAAATTCCTTAATAACTTACAATCCACACTTTATAAAAATTATATGCACAAGGAAAAGCATAAGGAAATAGGTGCAGGTGATGAGCTGCATTGTTTATGTTGCAAACAAAGCATTTTATTTATTTATTTTTAGCTTTTATTTTAGATACGGGGTACATATACAGGTTTGTTACATGGGCATACTATACTCAGGTAGTGAACATAGTACCCAATAGGTAATTTTTTGACCTATGACTCATTTCCCCCCTCCCCTCTAGTAGTCTCCAGTGACTATTGGTACCATGTTTACGTCCGTGTGTGCTAAATGTTCAGCTCACACTTCTAAACGAGAACATGCAGTATTTGGCTTTCTGCTCTGCATTAGCAAACTTTCTGCATTAGTTTGCTAAGAATAACGGCCTTCAGCTCCATCCATGTTGCTGCAGAGAACATACCTGCATTCTTTTTCATGGCTGTGTAATATTCCGTAAGTATATATGTACCACATTTTCTTTAGCCACTCCATCACTGATGGGCACTCAGGCTGCTTCCATGCCTTTGCTATTGTGAATAGTGCTGCGATGAACGTGTGAGTGCATGTGTCTTTTTGGCAGAATGACCTGTTTTCCTTTGGGTATACAGCCACCAATGAGATTGCTGGGTCGAATGGTAGCTGTTTCAAGTCAGTAAATCTCAAAACTGCTTTCACAGTGAGTGAACTAATTTATACTCCCACCAGCAGTGGGTAAGTGTTCCCTATTCTCCACAACCTCATCAGCATCTGTTTGTTTGACTTTTTAATAACAGCCATTCTTACTGGTGTGAGATGGTATCTCCTTGTGGTTTTGATTTCAAAACATTTACTTTTAAAGGTGGCTGGGGGAAGGCAAATCAGGAAAGAGAAGGAATCGAAGGCTACTGTACAGAGAGCAAATGCGGATTAACACACAGCAGCAGTCATGCCCAGGCAGAGCCAGAAGCCACAGGCGAGGAGACATCACAACTAAACCAACACTGACTCGCTGACATCCGAATTCAAAGTTAACTTGAATGTTTCTAGCCCAAAGAAAAGACAAATATTTAAGGTGATAGGTATCTCAATTACACTGATTTGATCTTTACAAATTATATGAATGTATTAATCACATGTACCCCAAAGTATGTACATCTATTACATACCAATAAAAAAAATTTAAACATTAAAAAAAAAGGATTAAAAGTGGACTGGGTGCAGTAGCTCCTGCCTGTAATCCCAGCACTTTGGGAGGCTGAGGCAGTCGGATCATGAGGTCAGGAGTTTGAGACCAGCCTGGCCAACATGGTGAAACCCTGTCTCTACTAAAAATACAAAAAATAGCTGAATGTGGTGGCGGAAACCTGTAATCTCAGCTACCCAGGAGGCTGAGGCAGGAGAATCATTTGAGCCTGGAGGCACAGGTTACAATGAGCCGAGATCACATGACTGCACTCCAGCCTGGGTGACAGGGCAAGACTTCATCTCAAAAAGTTAATGTTCCTGTCAGACACCCATGTCCCCAGTACCCATCAGCGAGAAGTGAGTCCTGATCATGGCTTTTGCAGGTAAATATCCTTCCCCATTTAAGTACAAAACCCTTTCATCTTTGGAAAAGGGGAATTATTATAGAATTATGATATAATAAAACATGGCCTGAATGTACTCAGCAAGTCTAAGCAGTCATTATTACGCTGTTTGACAATCAGAGGTGCCGTCAGTCACTCCTGGGACATTCGTAACTGTAAGTAATGGTTAACAGATGAATGTCAGTGTTTGTCAGGAGACTCCTTCTCTGTGTAGGGCCCCCTTCTTCCTGCAGCCTGCCCCTCACCAGCCACAGCCACAGGGCGAGGCATTCCTGAGGTCTGGTGCACGGCGGCAGGCATGGGTCTTCTCCTGGCTGCCTCTATCGCCACGGCTCTACTCAGAGCCTCCGCTGTAGGGGCGTCCTGACAGCCATGGGGCTTCTGGTCTACCTGCCCTCTTCATTTCCTCCATTCCAGATTCTGTGCTTCTCTCTCCTCCACAGAACTCTTGCTCCAACCTTTGCTCTCTGAGTAGAGTCAGCTTTCTAAGTAGGGTTTACCCACAACCCTAAGCCCTTTCTACATCCCAGGCCCTCAGCCTGACCTTGACCACTGACTTGGAGTCTTTAGCCAAATCCACCCCCAACCTTTATTCCGTACTCCAAGCCCTCTGGGAAGGTCTGTCAATCAGAGCTCCCCGTGCTGTGTGGAAACTCTGTGGCCCCAGAAGCCCTGCCCTCTCTGCGGACTTTCTGTGTTCACAGTTGTCGAGCAGACACCAGGCAGTGGTTGCCGCTCCTTGGAAATACAGCAGACAGCAATGTGTCCCTGAGATAACCCTCCCCACTCAGGGTTGCGGACTGTATTGGAAATGCTTATGGGTAATGACTTCAGCATCCTCTGCATCTAATTACATCTGTAGGTTAAGAGGGGATCACTTCCGCTTCCTGCAGACAACACACAATCTCTTCCTTTTCTCCCAGAGTGTCCTGCGCTCGAATGTTCATCATTAAACTCCCCACCTCTGCTCATCTGTAACAACGAACATAAACATCAAAACCACGCATGAATGCAGGATGAAAATAGAAAGAACATGACATTTAAATATTCTTAAACAGTTTAAGAATAATGCTCAGTGGGCATTATTCCAAAAATTTTAGAAACTAGTTTCCCCTCTGTCAGTCTTGGCTCAGATCTCCTACAACTTAAACTATTTCTCCCAGGTTTCAGCTGTGTGGTAAATGTATATCGGTCTTTGTCTCTGGTACAAGACTCCTAAATCCTGTGGGATTTCCCAGGTGATAAGAGCTTTTTTGTTCTAATCGGTCCATTCTTGGTGGGTCCCTAAACAGCTTCAGGGTGGGGGCTCGTGTCCAGAAAGTCCAAGGCACAATCAGAGAGGTCTGTAAGTTCATTTCCACAACCACTAGGGAGGGGAGAAGAGCTGGATATGGAGCTCATTACCAATGGCCAAAGATTTCATCAATTGTGCCTACATAATGAAACGCCCATGAACACCCTAAATGACAGAGTTGGGGTTTTCCAGTTGATGAACACTTCCATGTGCCAGGAGGTGGGGACACCCCAACTCCACATGGCCAGAAGTCCCTGTGCCTGGGACCCCCTTCCAGCCCTCACCCTGGGCACCTCTTCCATTTGGCTGTTCATTTGCATCCTGTATGGTACCCTTCACAATAAACAGGTAATAGTAAGGAAATTGCTCTGTGAGCTGTTCTGGAAAACTATCAAATCTGAGAAGGGGATTTTAGGAACCCTAATTTATAGCCATCAAGTACAGGAATCCCAGGACTTGTGACTGGCATCAAAGTGGGGGAATCTTGTGGTACCGAGCCCTTCACTTGTGGGGTCTGCACTGCTTTCAGATGGTGTCAGAAACGAATTAAACTGCAGGATATTCACTTGCTGTCCAGAGAGTTGAAGAACTGGCTGGTGTGGAAAAACCCACACACGTGATGTTAGAAGTGTTGTGGGTAAAAAGAGTTCCTAAGTTACAGTCAAGACGCTTCTTACTCACGGAAATGCATCTGCTTTTCTTTCCAAACTACACAAAACCCCTTAAACATTCTTGTTTCATATACTGAAAAAAGAAGCCAGACATTCTGAGAGGTCGCAA